GGGGAAGGGAGGGGGAAGAACGAGACTGGAGAAGAAGGGCGGGTTGAGGAAGAACGCGCAAAGGGGGGGGAAATGCGCGAGAGGGCGGAACAGAATGTGGATTAACAGAGACAGCACAGACCGTACGGTAGGCGCAAACGAGGCGGAGAAAGCAGAGAGGGAGGGAGACATCGAAAGGTAGAGGTACCCGCGGGCCTAGCTCAGTGGGGACACCCATGAACTGTTGAAATACAGATTTTTTTTATTTTATTTTTTTAAAGAAATACAGATTCTGAGTTCGACTCCAGATGGAACTAGATGAATGAAATCAAATACTGATATACTTACTACCTGGGGCTGGTCATTTCGGTAATAGTAAATATCACACGGCCATCGCCCTTTAAAAACGGAAAAGGGCTAGAGAGGTATAGAAACACCGAAAGAGGAAAGCAGAAGGTAGGGAACGCCCATCCCTGAGTCAAGGACAACATGCAGGAGAAAAAAGAGAGGTGGGAGAGTTCGACACCGTCAGAAGGAGAGCGAAGAGAGGCAGAAATGACAGAACAGGGAGCGGGTGGAGGTTACACCGCGCGGGAGGACCAAGCTTGGCACGCAGGTACGTCACGCGCGGAAAAGAAACGGTGTGGAAAGATCGACACGTCGTGCGAAAGACGGGGAAGAGAAGCGGATAGGAGGACCAGGTTTAGCGCGCAGGTACGTCACGCGGGAGGAAGACCTGAGAGGAGAAGGACCAGAAAACGCAGAATGACCAGCTTGACACAAACATAAGTGAAAACAACAAAAGAAAAGAAGATTGACGCAAACATGAGTGAGGGGAAAAAAAAAAAAAAAAAAGTCCTTCGGGACATCCGTTAAATATGTGATCCGTGGTCCATCGGACCACACGGTTTTTTTTTTTTTTTTTGAGACCACGGAGGGCTCACACACGTAAGCTTTGCTGACTCGCCCCCTCCAGTGTTGCCTCTGTATTGCACTGCAGCAGAATGCGGCGCAGGTCTCTAATTGGTT